AGGGCGGAGGAAAGGAGGCAGTAAATGACAGTGAGGATTAGATAGAGCCGTTTCATAAGGGGGAGGGAACGGGGGCGCGTAGACGTACATACGGTTAATCGATCCCTGATGGCAGTCGCTTCTGCTGTTGCTAGTATGCGCTGACCCAGTCGCTCAGGACAGTTAGATGGGACCTTGTAAATCACATGGAGGACTTCGTTGGGATCCACACGATGCCCAGAATCAACCACGCCTGCGATGCTGGAGATGTGTATGCTCTTAACTTTACCTTTCCTCAGCCATGCCGTCAGGTGTCCTCGTATTCTTGTGAATGAGCGCTGACTCGTAGAACCAATGTGGCCTGCTCCACAGGAGCAAGTAAAGAGATAAATGCACGTGGAGGTGGTTTGCGCTCATAATCTATTCCTTCCTTCATCGCGTATGACGGGGTTGGTTGTAATTAGTAAATATATTAGTAAAGGCGTACTTCTAAGCGGTTGAGCAGATATTTGGATTTTACTCCGATCATAAGTTGACAGAAAGACTCCAAGTGGATGACATAAGTCACCAAACGTGGTGACTATAAGTAAGGTGTTTACTTCTTGGCAGCTCAAACGTTATGCACTTTAGTTACTACACAAACGCGTTTCGCAAAAAAATTTCTTATGTCCAATGTTTTTAAGCAGTCTCATCGGGAAATATTTCGAAACTTGAGCGGAACTGAACGTTACCTTATATTTAGGCAACTTGATGGACACGGACCTATTTACTTATACCTACGGGCAGTCGATTGTGGACATTAAAAGCTGTTAAGTACCCACTGATACTTCACTGACATCTGGAAACGCAACAGATTTCACCGTCGTCAAAACCTACACGGTAATTTTACAGAGGAAGAACTCTTAATACATAAAAAATGGAAGACGGGAAGGCGATCGTTGGGACCCATTGTTTATTTATCCGACGTTTCGAACTCTCACGCGAGCCCATCGTTAAGGAATGAAAAAGCTGTACAACTCGCCGCATATTTAGCTCACCTCTGCCGGGGACGACCTCTAACTGCGCTGCTGATTTGTTCACGCAATGCTTAATAAGCGATTGGCAAATCGATATGTCGATTTATGGAGTCCTCGGTTGACTGCCACGAGTTCTGCAGCAGGAGAGCAACTCGGTCGTCCGACTGGTCCAATATTCTCGAGCACTGAAAGTCAAAACCGTGCACTGGTATACTTCTAAATTAATTTGCTAATACTACTCCATTTTCTTAGTGAACGGCCGGTCTCTGGACTTGCGATATTATCAAACTTTTATTCTCGTGACATTCTTGTTCAAGAAAGCCTGCAAAGTCCTCTTTATCTTGGTGAATCAGATCTCGCTCGATGTGAAAACTGAAAAATTGCATTAATTTCTGGCAATGCCATTGAGTAACATGCAACCAAAGACCTTGCAGTTGATTAGCTGCCATAATGTCTTTTGCACCAATTCTTGAAGGATATATAGTTCGATGATTGTCCAAAAGGTCCAATCTGAACATTGTTTTGCTTACGTTGTGTTATTTACTCAGTTGCTTAGATGAGCAGGTTTCGTGCACTTCTTCAAATTGAGTTTGCATGATTTTTTGCGCTTCTGGAACATCCGATTTCCTTAATAAAACTGTCCTTTATAGAGGACGCAATACTACTTTCAATACTTCCTTTGTGCTTGCATATAACCGTAGGGCGACCATTATCAGCTGGAAGTTTCGGTCGATGCATCTAAACCGGTTTCCGGTTGGCAAGAGATGTTTCGTTAATTTACGCATATTTTAACAAGTTAGCTAACTGTATATTTCTGTTCCCTGCAAATTCTTGCTATTGTGATAGAACAAGGCTCTATGTTCTAGTTGGATTATCCTGTCATTTTCCTAACGGATGAACAGCAGATGCATTACTCTAAATAAGGTAATTAGCACGAACTCACATGTTTCTAAAGACAGGTCCACCGCGTTAATAAAGCAGCATTTTTAAGTTAAAATCACATGACGAGTCACCTAACGCTCTAAAACTCTGATAGGTGCAGGCGAATACTGAAACACATAAACTCTCATGTACTGTGCGTCTTTGTGAGACATAAGCGACTCCGCCTCACACAATAGAACGAGGAGCTGGAAACAAGACTGCTTATGGTCCATCCTTAGTTGATTGATCCTGTTCAAGAGACACTCAAGTGTCTGGAGGTCGACACAGAAATATTCCCCAAGGACGACATAAAACGCCGGCTATTCCTGGTGCTGGTCAAGCAACTGCAGTACACCTTCAGTGATTGCTTACGAAGGTGGGCTCTGAAGAGTCTGAGAGATTCTGAGCATATGCTGATCGAAGTACGATTGCGACCACGCGTCGGGGATCCTCATCTCACCACGAGGTTGCTTTATGGCCCTCGTGCTTTGTCCTGTGCCTATAATGGTTAATTGATTACCGTCCAAAGACGAAAACGGGTCCTTCTTGTAAACATGTCTGACTTTCATCGTGCTTTGCGTTCGACAGTTGGCCCTTTTGAGTCGAAAAAAATATATTCTTTGATCGTCCGTGCTTAAGGGGAATTGCACCATTGTCTAGACCGTACTGCCACAATTGTGGACCCAGGAATAGTTGTTTAGTCATGTCAAAAGTGGCCAAAAGTGGGGAGGAGATAGTTATAAGCTAGGCGACGTCGACAAAAATCAGTTACCGCCCTACAGCACCATCTCCTGCCATTTTATTCCCCTCCCAGAAGCATACAGTGTATTCAGTTGTACCGATTTAGTGCAAAATGGTCAGCAGCGGGCTGACGGTAGAATTGAGATCTCTATTTGCAACCAAGCATGTTGGTTTTCAGCCACACACTTGTACTGTCCTCTACGACGAAAATAGTTATCCGCAACGTTCACGGTTGCCATGATACAAAGGTACTGTTTGCACCGAGTTCTACTTAGCAACACCTCAGTAGTCTACTCACAGTTGGCTTTATAATTTGGCGATTATTAGGGTGACTACATCATGCCTTAGTAAAGTTGATAATGCGATAAAGTTCCTGCGAGTTTTACTACTCTTGAATCCTGTGGAAGCTTCTATGGGTCGACTTATACCCAAATATGAGACTGTTGAATCTGGGGAATTTTCTCGAGAAGGACATTGCCCTGTGAACAATATCATAGGCATTCAAATTCCATAAGCCATAAATCCGGTTCATGGTATATGATTGTGGAGCTGACACATAGTTACATCTAGGTGCATACGTGTAGGTATGCTTATAAAGCACTCTCGCAACAACCAACACTACTAGCACGGTCACTCCTACTAACTTGCCCAGCATCATCAGCAGTGTGTACTCAGCTTCCACCTGTCCCCGTCACAACCGCACTTCCGTACCACGCGTTAGCTCTGTCGGTAATTTGTTAATCCGTCGCAGCGAGACCGGCTAACTAACAGCATGAGCCCCAGCATACACCCACCCCACCTGTCCGCATTGCCACAGAGCATTCGTCCAGCGCATAGATTTAATTCACCGCAAGTGTCATCATGGCAAATTCTGGGGAAAATAATAGAACAGAAGACGCCAGAATTAGGGGATTTTAGTGAGCGTAGGACCCCGACTTGCTGTATGGTGCGGCAGTGGCTACCGGTGAGGTCAGGACGTGTGCTACGGTGTTAAGTCATGCTCAGAAGAGAGAGAGAAAAAAAAAGAAAGAAAGAGAGGTCAGCCGCATTAATAGGTTTACTAGCAGAAGCATCGAGGGGTTTTTGTCCAAGTTGGACAAGGACGGCCTCGCTCGTCTGAATGTGTACGCGCGCACGTGTGCTGCAACCGGTCATGCCGCAGTCAGGTCAGCGCATCTCGAGCCGCTCACTGGAGGGGGGAATGACCTTGATGCTGCGGAGCATCGAACGAAGACAACAAGCAGCATAATGATAGCACAGTCCAGACCTCATCAACACATACTACTCTACGCTGCATAAGAGCCTACTTCACCGCAAGCTCGCACACGCCATGCAAAACACTGTTGCATCATGCACATGGTCCACTTTGTCGGCGTCCACTGGGCGAACGAAACGTTGCATGCAAGGACATGCACATCAAGTGTTCGTGGGAGGCATGTAGCCTGGTCCATATAGAGTATGGACTGTGTCGTGTGTGTGTGACACACGTAGGCCGGCTGTTCAGCTCATTCTCGTCACCAATCCTGTGACAGGCTCAGGCGATCGAGGGAGAGGGGAGAGGAAATGGAACCAAGACTGAGATTACTGATCCACAGGGCAAATCCGTGCATTCTCCCCACAACATAATCTGACGCGCTTAAATCTATCACGACGCAGTGTCAGTCACGGCTTGTAAGTCTACCAACTGGCAGAATAATTCGGCCCGTCTCAGGATTGAGCGTCAGACTGCAATGGCTCCTTCTTAAAGTGGTCTTTATGGCATATTCCTCGATTCGAGACCCAAGGCGCTCTCACAGCCACCTGGTACGTGAAGTGGGGATCAGATCGTGTGTGTGACACGCACTAAACTTTGTCCGCCATTACACCTGTCGTAATGGTGAGGTGGCGTGAGAGTTGCCAATGGCCGACAACGCGACCATCCCCAAATCACAGGTCAGGGAAGATAGATTATGCTGCACAAGTTCTACTGTCCTGAAACAGCACACAGGAGGCTCAGTAAGCAGCTGTCGCAAGCTGTCTCTTCAGGTGTGTGCCATTGTCCACCGTTGAGGTCCCTAGCCCCCAACGCGTGTGTGCGCCCCTGGCCTGTCTGAGTTATGTCCGCATGTAGCCAATCAGCGAGGGAGCAGCATTTATTGGCTTCCAGCTCTCGCGAGTCCAGCGACAAACCTCGCGCGGTCCCAGCAGCGAATCGACGAGGAGAGTGGGGCGGACAGGAGGGCGGCGTGACAAAGCGGCGGCGATCAAGGGAGTGACCTGCCTTACACCCACGTCCAGCTCCAATCGTCTTGTCCTTGTCCTGTTATCGGCGCAGAGTGGGCTGGGGACGAGCGAGCGCAACACATGCTGATGTTGGTTGAAATTCTGGTTATTTGTTTTGTGGACCAGGGGGTGTGGTGGAACGCCAAGGTGTGGCTCCGTCCGAGCCATCCACCTGCGGCCTCCCTCGTCTCCGGTCTTCTTGACTCTGTCTTGACTCCGGGCCCAGGCGGGGGAGGAGGAGAGAGTGTAGGTAGATGCAGCGCAAGTCTACCGGCACTATAAACCTCTGCGTAAGTCACCGTCCCTGCTCCCACCGCTGCTGCAGGTGTGGCGCACACGGTGGACATCATCGAAATCGATAGTCGAACTGTCATTTGACCTAATTTGCGTGCACGTTGCAGTTGCACCGACCCTGTGGCACACCCGGTGAGCGTCGTCGCCTATGACGGTCGAACTCTTCACGCCTTTCCATATCATTTCTGGCGGCAGTGCAGTCACCTGCAAAGGCTCCGAATTGAGATCCAAGGCTCCACGAGACGAACACGATGGATACACATATATACGCCTCTTCTATGGCATCGAGAGCCTTACTTTAAAATTGCAACCAGAATCTAGGTTACTTTGAAATATTAGCATCTTCCCCGGCTTTTTTGACCGTCTCGCGAAAACTGTATAATACGTTTAAATGTCCTTGTACCTACTGGTTCGCACGAAACTTGCCTAAGATTAGTACCTATGGGACAGTTAACCAGAACTTAATGCACAACTTCAACGATCAACAGTAAGTATTACTTGACGATATTTCTAGATGAATGAATTTGATTCAAGTGTACGAGAACTATTTCCAGCCAATTTGGACGTTAATCATTAAACTTGTCTGCGTTTAATCTTTCAGATGTACAATGAATGACTTTATAAACCAACGTGGCCAAGTGCTGTTGTCAACTCCTGTTAAATAAACCGTCTTGATGCTTATACAATGAAAAAATACTTCGGGTCATCATTGACGGGACCTTTAAGTCAGTTATGCAGTCATACTCGGAGAGAATGCAGCCAGAGGCCTTGAATGACCCTGATCCTACATCTACAGTCTTGCAAAATATTATTTTTCCTTTTCCTTGTTAGACCTTACCGTTGCTACTGCTACTTTAGGGCGATGGAAGGGTTGATTAGCACGCAGACATTGACGTATACGTCAGACAGCGTGTAGGAGTTTTGTTCCTCATTTCACTTTTGACAGAGGAAGTTGCAGTCGCTCTTCGTGCATGATGGACAGTGACGTTGTTTGTCTGGCAGAATGCTTTTTTAACTGAGCGCAACATTATCATTTTATTGCATTATAAGCATTCAAGAAAAACAATCTTATAGGAAGCGGTGGATAGTAAAAAGAACTTGGCGTAAGAAAAGCACCGGAAGTTTTGCTGCGACTTATATGTCTCTAAACCGGTACTCAAGACAATTGAGTAGCGAGTTCTACATAATTACATCGGACCAGATAAGAAAGGATACTTTTGTTAATATACGCAGAAGGGAGTTCAAGAAAGCCCATGATGGGAGGAGGTTCGAAGGCTGGGAAAAGAATACTGCTCGAATAACGCCCTGGATCTGCTCACGGATGCATCACCAGGAACCACAACAGACAGGAAGGATGGGTGGACAGGGGGGAGGGGTGCGAAGTTGGTAGGACACAGGTGATACGCCACCATATGTCTACTAAAGTTGAATGCCTTCGTATTCGTGACAGATACCTTACTTACAGCCACCCCCAATCGAGCCGCTGATTGCCACAAGCTCACCTCTGGTGTTTATGATAGGTGCAATAACTTGTTTCACTTTTAGTACCACGAGAAGCAGAGTTCGTCTACGTGATACCTGCGTGTCTGGTAATTCTGCCCAGACATAGTCTTAGCGCTGCCTGAGGAGGGGGAGCAAATTGCGTTTGTTGATCGACTACGTGCTGAAAAGCCACGAGCCAAGCAAACTGCAACTCATTCGGCTGTCACCCCAAGTAAGGTAAGAAGGTAGATCTTTTAGGCAGGGATGCTCTGAGACGTTCTTGACGAACTGAAGCGCTTGATAAAGCTTGTGGTGTGGTTTAAACTCCCGTTTTGACTTCGATGGCGTTTCAAAAGCAGTTTTTACCCCTCGCTGGCCACGCTACCTATCTCTATCCGCGTTAACCCCCAATGGAGCCTACTGAAACTAAACTACAATGCAGGGAGGAAGTTTTCATTTTCTGCCTACAATCTGGATAGATCGTTTCACGCCATGCGACAAAATACCCCCGAGCTCATTTTACATGACGTCAGCCCTTTTGGGTATATGTGAGAACGTTCCCAAATGATCAAAGGACCTGGGGTCCGAATCTGGGGTATGCAACCCGAAGTTGGGTTATCACTGACTGTGACGCAAATAAGCCAGAAATGACCTTTCTGGTGCCCCTGTGTTTGATGGTGCGACGGTTCGACCGTCTTGACCGACGATGTCCCCCGTGTGCTCCACAGCAGGGTGAGAGTAGGGGCGGTGACTTGTACGCGGGTCAGTTTAAAATGATAGTAGGCTTGTGCAGCATTTACTTCACTCTCTCCTCCCCCACTTGAATCCGGCGTCAAGACAGAGTCAGGAAGACCGGAGGCGGGAGAGGCACGACGAAAACCCCCTAGTTCACAACGCACATTGATTAGGCATTTATATCACTAGTAAAAAGCAGGCGGCGAAATGGTGTAATGAGCACCAAAATACATCTACCGCACCCGCCTCAACTGCCCTAGCTGTCCGCGCACATTCACTTGCCGCATGGGCCTCCTAGGCCACCATTACATCTTTTTTCACGAACAGCTACAAGGAGCACGACCGCACTCAATAGCACGCAACGCAAGCACGTAATTGGCACCTCTGACGTAAGTGGAGAAGTGCGTCCCTCAGCTCGTTCTCCGTGTGGTCCGTCCCCCTGCATGTGTGGTCCGAGCCTGAGGCTATAACGCTGCACTGAACGCCGCGGCCTGGAAGGTTGACAAATGACGATGGTACCCAGACCTCGCAGTCAGCCCAGGGTGTTTTTGTGCAGACTGACCGGCTCTTAGACTGAGTGTCAGACTACAATGACCCCCTTTTAACTCGACCTCTGGCAGTCTCATGCATTTGAGATCCGAGCCTTCTGTCCTCTTTGTGTGTGAAGTCCTGGTGCTCGTGATTTGATGACTAGGTCTTGCATGCAGCGCACGCAGACGAGTTCCCAAACTCTGTCAGCCACTGTGCCAATCCGACACCAGACAACTAACCAGTCCTGGCAATGACTAGGGTCAGGGACTGGGAATATCGAATGAGGTCGACAACCCAGCCCACTTCCCTCATTATAGACAATCTGGCGCCCTTGAAGCTACCACGTCGCGCTAAAGGCCGTGGCCTGAAATGTTTCCCACTGGTGAGATAACCAAGACCTTGCATTCAGCCAAACCCGTTTTGTGGAGAGTTGTCGACTGGTGAACTGACAGCCAGGCTGCAATGGCTCCTTCCTAATGTGGCCTTTATGACACTCAGGGTCGTGGGATCCGAGCCAAGAGTAGTGGCAGGCGTTTGTACCTCTCCGATTGCGCTCCCTCTCCTACATCCGGTCTTCTTGACCTGGTCATGGCACAGGTCTAGGCGGGGAGGAGGAGGAGAAGAAGAAGAAGAAGAAGAAGAAGAAGAGAGTGTGGTAGGTGCATCAGAAGTCTACTACCACCATAAATTTAATAAAGCGCAAGTCACCATCCCTGCGCCAGTATGTTGTGGACCACACGGTGGACCTCGTTGGATACACCGGCCGAAATGTCACGTCCCATCTGTTTTCTTTTTGTCGCGCGTATTATTGCTGCCGCCGCTTGTTTGTCTGCTAGACAAAGCCACACAACGTGCGCTCCGCCCTGTAATTATGCGATATCATCCAGCTTCGTTTGCAGGTAGTAAACAACCCAAGTCTGCATCATGAGGGTTACGGACAAGGAATGGGCAACTGCTTTTGGTTGTTATAAACAAATCCCGTGCTCCTCTCTTTCCTTTTATCTACTCATCCAAATCAGGCAGTTCACCTCGTCCTTAGAGTTAGAAAGAATGCAGTGCCAGTTAGTCCACACAAGTAGCAAGTGTATTCGCCGTAGCTCATTTGGTGAACACTTGCGTGATTTCAGAATGCTGCCCGACGATGCAAGGTTGTCAGCTGCACGAGTTTCTCCTTCGTCATAGCCTGAGTTAACTGGAAAGAAATCTGTTTAGTTACTTGGACCTTATCTGCCCTGAACAAATATCCATCTGTCAGTACTTTTTATGGGCAGCTTATTTTGATGTTACGATGAAGGCTCAACCATATGTGAAACCTAGGATTCCCCATGCTGGTTATGGTTATACCGGCATCAAATGCGGCATTGCTCCTGTATGTACGCGTTTTCCCCTTGTCAAAGTCCTTCTTCGTTCGGAACAAACTGTTACTTAAGTAGAATCTAATTTGAACAAATATCTACTTGTCAGTGCTCATTCTGGCCTGTCCATTATTACGATACGATGTGGGCACAGTTAAATATGGAACCCTGGATTCCCCGCGCGAGCTTTGGTGGCATAAGCGCAGCTGTACCAGCCGCCAAAGCGAACTTTCAAAAGGCTGTTTACGAAAAATATATAAGTTGCTATAGCTACAGAAAGATCCGGTAGACGCCCCTGTACATCGCGCGTCTCAGAGGCGACAACAGTTTGGCTTAAAACCCGTAATTGTGACTCATTCTGCTGGGTGAGTAATACCGGTGCCCGCTGATTGGCCTATATGGCTAACCTATGTTCTCCGGGCACATGGCCAAAGTCCCAATCAGAAAATCACTTTCGTTTCTGACCCTTGTCAAACGTCTACCTTCTGAGCGGTAGAACAGTCTGCCAAAATTCTTGTTTGGATTGGCAACCTGACTGTCAACTGTGCAGCGCTTACTACTCAACGATCCTCCTACAAGAAGGCGGCGTGTCAGGAGCTGAAGATGCACTCTACGAAAGCATTATTTGCTACCCTAAAAATATTATTCGGGTGGTGGTCGAAACACTGATATTCAGGGAAAAGAGTTTTATGTTACTCCGCACCAAACAGCGGTCATATGGAACAAGCTACACAAGCACACATTTTACCATAAGTAATAAAGAGTTTTCTATCCTTTTTGATTTTCTGAGTGAACGGATCATTGTGGATAGGAAAGATTGACGAATAACATGTTTTGCAATTGCGAAAATTTCCATAGAAGGATACGAAAGACCAGCTGGCAAGCATGCGTGTGTTTTCAATAAATTTTCGTCGAACCAGTACATTTATATGGGAACGCGGTACACGTAGAACACGTGATAGACCAGAGAAATCAAGTACGGCTCATCTTTTCACACCAATGGGGTGTGGGTAAAGGGGGAGGATGACGGGGGCAGGCCGTTGAGAGATGCATGCAGTTAGCCGCCCTTTGGTTACGGTAGGCGTGGAGCTGGTACCAGGTTCATCTCTGCGCGCAAGACTGACTTTCGTAACCTGATGACAGTCGTCTCTGCTGTTGCTAGTCCACGTATTTCGGAGAGACCTTGTAAACCACAGTGAAGATTGCGTTGGGGTCCACATAATGCCCCGAATCAACCGTATGTGCGAAAGTAGTACTGTTTTGTGTTCTCAGTTTCGCCTTTTCTCAACCATTCCGGGTGGTGTTCTCTTGTTATTCTTTTGAACAGTCGACTACTGATGTGACCAATATGGAAAATTTCACAGGAGCAAGTAAAGAAGTGGATGCACATGAAGGTGGTCTGAGCTGACAACTTATGCTTGCCTTCTCGGTTTTAAACGGGGCTCATAGAGACGGATATCCGGACTCTCGCAGCTGAGAAGGTTCTCGAAACAGCCTGACGTGGATGTCCTCTCAGTAGTTTACTCTCTGTGTCCGCTTTAAAAGGAACTTCAGGGAGCAGAGTTTTTTTCCACTTGCCCTCTCAGCTTCTGCTAGCATTTCTTTCGGTGCGTATCCCAGTATTTATGTAGATACTACGTGGAGCAGTGTAAACCGTAGAGCGAGGCCTAAAGGTAGGTTCGAATATGATTCGAAAAGTGAGTTCTTTTGCCTATGGCATACACAATGTTGGTATTTTCGGAAAGGTGAAAATGTAGTACATGCGCCCAAATGTGTTGTTTGTCTGTACCTTAGAAAAAGGTGGAGTACGTGGATATTCGTCAACTTATTATCCCACCAAAGCACATTTTAGACCTAACTTACTAGGGAGTGTTTCCCATTGAAGTCATTTTATGTGGAGCTCTAATTTATTCTTCGGAGTCTATGAACCTGACACAAAAATCAGGATTAACTATGCCGGATGTCAGTTGAGAACACTAAAGACAGTAGAGTATTAGGAAGACCACTAGGCGAGCAAGCGCATGCTTTCGTTAAATTCTCATCGGGCCATCACATTTATATAAGAACGGGGCACGTGTAAACATGTTATAAGTAAGAGAAATCGATTACAGTCCTCTCTTTCATACAAGTGGGTTGTAGGAACAGAATGGCGGAGGACTAAGGAACAGTGAGTTCGGGGGCAGTGAGGGTTAGGGGACCGGAGGGTAATGGTGAGGAGGAACATCCGTCCATCAAGTGTACGGTGGAGGTGAAAACGGCAGATATACTCCCTTTCTTAACTGCCCTTTTAGGCAGAAGGGCTGAAGGTAGCGATCGAAGGAGTCCATTGGAAGAAATTTTGTCTGTACAATATGCGAACCCTTCAACAGTCTAGTCCCTGGTTTCGCGCAGAGGGCTAGAAAATTTGTTTGGCCGACAACATTGGCAAAGGCCTTAGAAAGATCCAGGACCTGCTTCGCGAGAACGGGTATACAAGCAAATTTATTGCGAAGAATACTACAGACAGACCTACAGTACCCATCATGATGAAGGCGGAAAAGAAAACTCTGTTCCTTACGTGTAATGTACAAGCTATCACTGAACCGTCCTAAGCCACTGGGTCGGCATCTACTAGCAACATCAGAAGCGACAAAAGTCCGGTCTTGTTTGCATAGTTGAGTCTGGTATAAGCTCCACGCCTACCGTAGCCAAAGGTCGGCTAACTGCATGCATCCCTCCGTCCCCCCCCCCGTCCTCCTCCCCCCTTACCCACACCCCAATGGTGTGGAAAGATGAGCTGTATTTGATTTCTCTGATCTCTCACGAATTTTACGTGTGCCCCAATCCCATATAAATGTACTGGGTCGACGGAACTTTATTGAAGACATGCATATGCTCATCGACTGGTCTTCTGAATAATGTGTTTGCATGGTCAGCGTGAAGTTTCTCGTCGGAAGCCGCCAGTCTTCGATTATCCATGAGTTTGAAAATTCGACAGTTCGGCCGTCGTGACCGACGACGTCCAAAGTATACTCCACGTCAAAGCGAGTGCAGGGACGGTGACTTGCGCATGAGTTAGTTTATGGTGATAGTGGACTTGCGCTTTGCCTACCGCACTTTCCCCTCCCCCCCCCCGGACCCGGTAGCAAGACAGATCCAAGAAAACCGGGACTGGGAGAGGGCCTAGGTGACTGACGCGACATGAACCCGCACCTAGGCGCACCACCACATCCCCTAGCCCGTAAGGGACACTCACCAGGACATTATACATCAAGAAACTGGGAGACGATGCCAATTCCAATTTACGCGGCGTGGACCTCCAACCGGGTCTGCCGACACATCCCATGTCTTGGCATCTGTTATGGGTGCTCATTCTCGATAACGCCTCCTGGACATCGATCTAGCCGCCGTGTTGGTCCAACGCATCTAACACGTGACCCGTTTTGGGGGACACGGTTAAGCAATTCAACGATCTTCTGAGACACGGCCTGCGTCCCCGCGCATTTCCAATGTTAACAGACACGTACCTGTGCACGGAACACACAGGTCACATGTATACAATCTCCTGTTTGCGTGTTACTAAAAAAGTAGGGACATTGTAACGGACAAACCTCGGGTTTGTGGCTGCATGCGTGACTGAGGTAACACAAGCTAGTGACGGCTGCAAATCTAAAACGGTTCTTCCGACTTCCCTTGTCCTTGACGGTAACACCCCTTGGCTAGTGAACACCCGCAATGAATGTACTACACCTGGTGCACATGTGCAAATATTAGCCAGGCGCACACCACCAAATGATAGCAAACAAGGACGGGGCTTAAACGCGTCCCAATACTTTTTAACTGCGCCGCTGTTTTCGTTAAGGGTTCCGAAGACGTACGTTTGTCCTTATACCTGTCATCCGGCCGTTGTCACCATCCGTCAGTGCGCACAGACGAAACCACGGAATCGTTTTCTGGAACTAATGCAGAGTGAAACCACCCAGTACCCGGAACCTCCGCGCCATTTCGACGTCGGCAGTTAATTGGTGTGAGCAGGACGCTTTGCCTAAATGTCCTGCAGTTATTTGGCTATTTTTGATATGGTGGCTCAAAAAGGATTGAGCGATGGTCTGGAGTTCATCATTCCCGCGGTAGCCCTGCAACTTGATGGCAACTAGGATCGATCATTTCGGTTGTGTAGGTACGAAAACATGCTGTCCTGCAGGACGTGTTCAAGCGGCCGACGGATTTCCGTTCTCAAACGTTCCCCGCCGTCAGCAAGCCGAAAGTGAGCTCTAGATATCAGTGTACAGCAGATCGACCGAGACAGTAACAATATCAACCTTACACTGTAAGAACGTATGCGGGCAAACTCTAAGCGAGAGGTGGTGGTTAACAACTGCGAGCCAGCTTCAGGGTATTTCAGAATCAGTTATTTACAGGAGCTGTTCAGAGTTAGCGAATGTCCAAAACCTGCAAGCCCCAGTAAGGCAGGAATGAGGGGGTCGGCCAGCCTGTAAATCAGGATGAAATATCGTGCGAGCAAGTTGTTTATCCGATGCTTGGTGAAACTTCTTGGGATCACTGCGGTTGGAATCACTTGCAAGTCCGTCTCAAAACTTCACCGTCAGATGGTGCTCCTAAAACTCCAAACGATAAATGGGCAAAATTGTTCCTAATGCACACAGTCTCATTTTAGGAGCCGGTGGACAGCTGTTAATGATAGTGCAAGTGCTCAATCTGCCACTGCAGGGCCGAATTCAAAAGTGACGACGCGTGTAGTCAATGCTCAGCACGAGTTCAGATTGGCTGAGATCGTGCACCGAGAAGATAAATACAAAGTTGAAATGGTCGACAGCATTCATTTCCAGTCACACTAACCCACCCCCTAAATATGGAGAATCTGTGGCAGAGTCCGGTTCAGTGCCTATTGTGCGCGACAGAGACGAGGCCACGGACAGAGAAAAGCATGGCTAAGCAGGCGTTAATAAGTCATCTGGAGTCGACTAACACCCCGCAGCCAAGGATTAGGCTAACAGTCGCATTGAAGGGGACCGGCAGGCAGTATACTTCGAACTAACTACTGGATCATGACTAAGAGACAGTCATTATTACTGGGTGAAGAATATCAAGCACCTCTTAAAGGTCCTGTGGAACCGCAATACTTCTTCTGCTGCACCACCTGTGAATGGTAATATACTTGTCAACAGTTGCCCTCTACGACGGACCACGCGGTAATTACGTACTTTTACGATATCACAGCGAGCCCATAGTCTTGGTTTCGAAGTTCGACAGCTGACAGGATGACTCTGTCTTTTCAGGACAGAGAGTCAGGCTGCAATGACTCCCTCCAAATGTGAACTTTATGGTCGTCCAACCCACTTTGAGTCCGATTTGGCCCCTGGCCAGTTTTGGTAAAAACCTTGTCCATCGTGCGCGGACAGGGCGTCTGTGGCACAAGCAGAAGGGCCGCTCAGCTTTTTCAGTCACCGCATCCGATCCCACCTCCAGTCTTTTTGACTATTCCTCGACATCGGGTTCAGGTGGATGAGAGAGGAATGTGCACGGCAGATGCAGCGCAAGTCCATTATTACTAGAAACTATCTCATGTGCAAGTCCCCGCCCACGCGCTCACCCTGGTGTGGGGCACATGGTGTAAACCGTCAATAACGACAGCCGAACAGCTACCTGCTGGCAGTAAAAAAGCAGTCATGTATGCTATTACCGACAAAGACAAGGGAGACTGGAATGGCCATTTCCGGCTTATTAGCCGTTTTCAGCCGGTCATACCCAACCCCGAAGCGTGGAAGACCGGGGGCTTGAACTCGCGATCTGTTTGTTACGAGTTCAACGCTTCTAACCACTGGGCCACGGACCCGTTGTCCTGTCGGTTTTAGTGAGCGCCCCCTACCATTTTACATTCCCGATCGAAATCGACAGGACAACGGGCTCGTGACCCAGTGGTTAGAGGCGTTGAACTTCTGATTAACAGGTCGTGAGTTCGAGCCTCAGGTGTTTCACTTTTCGGGTTAGTATGACTAGCTGACGACGGCTAATAAGCGAGAAATGGTCATTCCAGTCTCCCCTGTCTTTGTCGACAATAACATACTGCCTATAACATGCACCGTTGTGCGGCTGCTGGTTGGGGCTCGAGAGAGAGAGCCCGTAAGGCACGACGGAAGGAGTGAATTCCGTACGAACTATCGGTGAGCGCCCCCCACCAAATAGTCGTGTTTCAGCTAACATTTGGTGAAACAGGGATTGGGAAACAAAAAAAGATTTACTAAGAGTATTTTTGTACCTCGTTTTATTAATAACTGCGAAACCTCGAAGCAATAAGCACGCATGCAGCACTAATGCACTATTGTCATCCCGTTTTTTGTCCCCTCCCTACAAACCCTCTGTCAACAGCACGGATTTAAAAGTACTGCAGCGACCGACTTTGTGTTTTAACGCTTGTTCTATATTGTACATTGTATCATTTTGGATAGCGAAAAACCAGATCATTTATATGAGCAGCAAAGCAGACTGAACATTCAGCACATGGCAGGATACAAAGATTTTCAAACCAGACATGAACTTAGCGCTAACGGAGCTTAGTTAGATCCCTGTGGCATACTCTTCTGCTAGAAATTGCTTGTCGGAACGGCCCACGCCTCGCATACTTGACAGCAGTCTGATCTGGGTTTTTCTAAATACAAACACATGGCGTCAAAAGCACACCCGCGATAGGTGCATTAAATTTTCGCATCGATTTCTGCCGCTGTGAGTGCTCGCGTTTACAGTGAAACGTGACATACTCTCTGCCTTTGTGTGTGTGTGTTCTCACAGAGCAAAGGAAATTAGGAGTGCCCTACGAGTGAGCAGAATGATTTCTGCATTTTTACGGCAAGGGAAATGTTTCTATTTGTCTACTGCGTGAACTCATTACCGGATACAAACCTCCACTCCTCATCGGGAGATTTGAATAAACTGGATTTACGTTTAGCGTAAAATTTTGATAACCCATGCCTGTGTATTATGGTGGCGGCAGATCACGCTTCGCTCAAGATCTACGGCTGTTGGGCTGTAATTGGTCTGCTAGCAGCCGCTTGCGTAAATAGCGTAATAGCTTTATCTGTATTTCTTGGGAGCTACTTACAACTTTGGAACACATGGAGTGCAAGTAGAGTTTACCTATAATGACAACTGCTTCCTTTGACACAATGTACTAGGCCTTTTTGACCAGAGGAGACAAGCTTATCTACAGACCTATACAAGTGCACTGGAGAAATGCTGTGGGCTATAATTCGGAAGTAGTAGCCTTCCTTCCCTTCCATGTGAACTGATTCTTGGAATAAGGGCCTTGGCGTCTACAGCCTTTAATTGTTCTTATAGAGGAAACGATTTCATTTTGACAAGGACAACTAGCAGCGATGAAGCTATGGTTCAACGAAAACGATAAATGCAGACGTTATAATCGCATGCAATGAATCTGCAGTCGATCTATCCTGATTGCGGGACGGAACAGAGCACCTTCGTTCGACCTTGGAAAGCAGTATTCATGGCCTTCTTGGGAGGAGGGGTAGCAAGTAGTCAGAAAAGTTCGTTCCAGTTTTCATGTCCTTGTAAGCAGAACTTCCTGGACATCGACTAATAATCATCATACACCGTTTGGGCGGGCCGTAAAGGCCCGTATCCAAGGCAAAGCAGAAATGCATAATGTCGCCCGCAGTCGGGATAACTTCTGAATGCCACTTCCATGTGACATGACGCGTGCCGCAGCGTTGTTTTGAAGAAGTCGTTTAACCATCAATTGACTCAGTTTCTGAGCTCGAGTCTGAAGTTGTGAGCTTGATGTATCGCTTGCTGATGGCAGCAGCCACCGCAGTGTCCCCACCGTTGTCGGCAAAACTCCTCTGGGTATCGTAGTCGTTGAACTGGGTGCTTACTACGACAGCTTCACATCCTCCGAAGACATGTCGGTGTAATTGGCAAGGGATGTCACTAAGAAGCACGAGAAAACGGAAAAATAGCTCAAGTCACTTTCTCTGCTCTCACCCCGCCGTAGAGCACACAGTGGAAATTGTCGAAATCGACGGCCGAACTGTCACCTTTGCACAGGTCGCAGGAACAGGCCTAGACGTGATTCAGTTACAATGTATGCATATAATTTAATCTGAGTATAAGCTACCTGGAGCCCCTCACTGATCGGCTCACCGTCCCTTTGCACTTCACTCAGTGACCGGTGCACCACTATTTCTCATAACTGAACGCTCGAGAGCATGTGTGCGTGCTTTTTCGGGTCAAGGTTCTTCACACCTTCTTGTGAATGCTTCCAGACGTGTTTACCCGGCAAACCGAGGTTCTGCAGTGACTGATTCCGATACAAACGCACATGTACACTTACACAGTCGCAGTCGTCAGTACTTCATGTGACGCGACACGCAAACTAGGAGACTCGTTCTGAATTCGACTCCCAAAAGTCTGCACTAAAGGTCAAACTCGAATACACTCTCGCAGGTACGACTTCACACGCACCCTTGGTCTCCACTTGTCGGCTCTACATCTGATGTCTTTCATCTTTCACCGGCAAAGCCAGAGTTGATCTGGCTTTCCCGCCAGTTAAAATACATCGTAGGTTGGGCTGAATTAGGCCAAGCCCTTCCTTATCGCCCGCCCCCTCGCACAGAACGTCAGTTGTTGCTCTGAGCGAGACAGAGAGCAGCCATTGGCTCATGGCGTGCAGTGATCGGGCTGTGAGCCCTTAACTACTGTCGTATGTTTGTGCGGTACACGCACATTGAGCCATCCACACTATGCCAGACCTTACACCCAACTTTATTGCAAGTCAGTAGAAGTGTTCAGACAGGCAACTAGTGCATGGGAGGGAGAAGCGAGGTAGATTGTCTTGTGATTTTCGGCATGAAGATATTCTTCTTTTATTGAACGAAAAAAATCGTAGTTGGGGAGTAAAAATCGGCGGCAGAATGCACGAACCAACGAAATGCCAGGTCAACAGTTGGGTAGTAGAAAGTGAGATAAAATTTCGAAGCGTGCATGATTTTTTTCAACTCCTGATTTGAAGCATTTCAGTGTAAAGAGACTAGGCAAGATTGAGTAGGCATAACTGATGTACAGTCGACCTCCGGTATTCGCAGAGATTATGGAGCACAGCTGTTCGCAAACATTTGAGGCCCCTCCAAGAACGCTCGCAACTTCCTACTTTGGTGTTTAGATACCAAACGTACCTTAAAATTATCATCCTAAAACACTGTATTATTGTTTGCAGTGTTTACATTTGCAATGATATTTAAAAATTTAGTAAGCCATTTTCCTTATCACAAAAAAATGAATTTAATTGGGAAAATAAATGGAAATAGGCAGAATGGTATTGCCGACGAAGACAAGGGAGATTGGAATGGCCATTTATGGCTAATTAGCCGTCGTCAGCCAGTCATACCCCAAACCCTACGTGTGGAGCATCTGGAGCTCGATCCCGCGACCTGTTAGTTAGAAGTCCAACACCTCTAACCACTGGGGGAAATAATTGACGAATACTTTAGTTAGGGTCCACTTAAAGAAAGGAAATCCGCAAATACTGAACTATGAATACGCAGGGGCCAACTGTATCGCGAAATAAGAACGTGTAAGCATTTCAAGCGATACGGCGGTGGGAACATCAGGCGAGCTAGGCCACCCGTACTATAGGTGGTCTGAAAGATATTTTAAGAGGGAGTGGGTGGTTATGAGTCAGCCTGTCGGGGTACGGTAGGTCGACACTTGGATATTTTCCAAATTAAATACAGAGACGACAGTTATAGTACAGCCTCTATTGAGGCAGAGGCGAAAATCGTTCTCACCATCCGACCGCGTCGTTCGCACTAAGAAGTATGCGCCCGGGCTTTGTACGGATGCGACCAATCAATGAAGGAAAAGTTTCAATCACGGTCACGGCGTCAAACTGCCGAGAGCTGAGGCGCACGTGAGAAAGCAGCGCTTGACAAGCGTACTAAGCCGACCGAGAACGGCCACGCCGACAAGCCCGAGAGCAAACTGCCACAGTGCCCCACGTCTTTCCTACTTTCCCCGGCCGTAACGCACGATTCAGTCATATGCACCTGGATGTCGTGGGCCCCTTGCCTACATCCAGTGGCTAAACTCACCCTCTTACCTGCGTTGATAGGTTCACCCGCTGGGCTGAAGCCAGTCCTCTGAATGTGCAAGATGAAACGGTCGTGACGGCCACCGCCATTCGTTAGGTCGCCATTTTCAGTGCCTCATACACAGTTAAGACAGATTATGGTGCCCAGTTTGAGTCTGCTTTCTTCCAAACCCTCCTCAATTTTCTTGGCTGCACGCGGATTCGGACGGCAGCCTTCCACCCAGTTGTCAGCAGTATGGTTGAGCGTTTCTTTCGCCAAATAAAGACCACCCTGCGTGTCGCAGAAGACCAGGGAAACTGGTCAGACAACCCGCCCCTCGCACTCCTCGGCATTCGAGCGGGTCTGAAGTCGGATTTTGACTGAAGCGCAGCAGAATTTGTTTTCGGCAGTATCCTCCGACTGCCAGGCGAGGTGGTCACCCCAACCTCTTTTGGTGCCGACGAGACCACTTACAATTTTTTGCACTGTCCGCGGCAGTTTATGCACTCGCATTCCTTGGTTTCACCTCGAACTTCAACAACCAAGTCTTAAGTTGAAAAAACGCTTGGGTTCGATAACCTTTACTGCTGGGGAAGTGTGTACACAAAGGCTCTGCAAGAACCTGCCGCGAGCTGTCTCTCTAGGCAAGTTATGCCTGTATCAGCCGTTGAGGTGCCTAGAACCCAGCGTGTGTGCGCGCCTTTTGCTCTGCCTCAGTGTCCGCCGGCAAATTAGAGAAGGGACAGCGTAGATTCTCCTCGAGCACTCGCGGGGCTAGCCACGAGCCTCGCGCGTACCGGCAGCGAATTGACAGGGAGTGTCAGGCGGGCAGGAGGACAGTGTGACAAAACGGCGGAGAGCGAAGAGGCGTGGACTGTCAGATACTCACCGTACGGAGAGCCGTCTGGTGTGATCGCACGCAGCATCAAGACCTGCAGGATTCTTCGCGGTGAGAAGGAGGACGTGGTCAGCATCGATTGGATCAGGACTGTTGTTGCGCAGGAACCACCGGGCTTGCCACGAAGACAAGTGTGCTGACTCCAAAACCCGTTTACCTCCTCCCCCGCTGTCCCCTTCTACCTCAGCTTCCCTACACCCTTTTCCTTCCCCTCCCTTACCCTCTGTCTCGCCGTCCCGCATACTTCCTCGCCCTACATGCCCACAGCATCCAACTACAACCCCATCCTCCTCCACCGTAGTACGCACTCAACCCTCTCCAACAGTACCTCCTGCTTGCATAAATCTCAGTGGCCGTCACGTCCACTTCCCTTGTTGTTTAGTTAGGCATTTCCTCTAGACTTATGCATATCCTTCACCGCCGTTGGTCACCATCATCTTCATCATCTCTGCCACAACCTACGCGGCGGCGGTGGCGACGCGACCACCACAGCCCCCACTCTCACTACCGGACAAAACTCTCTCGACGATCCGCCAACCACCACCCTCATAATTCCCACTCCCATCTCCAGCGATGTGGACTCGGTCCCAATCTACCCCTATCAAAGTCGCAAATTAACCTCGCGCATCGGCCTGATCGGTCACCTGCGGGCCAAACGCACAGGGACTGGGACGTCAGTGCCTGGTTCACCGCTGTAACCAAATGTCGTCACCCCAACTGCCGGTACTGCTCTCGCGCATCCAGCCACTGCATGAGCCTATTAAGCCAGATGCGCATTCACGAAAACATGCGATAGAGCACGCCGGCTATACCTTGCGATCACATCTCTCCTCCCCACTACTTACAACACACACGACCACACGCAACGTCACACAACGCAAGCGCTTCTCATGCAAGTGTGTATTTACCCTAAGTAACCGACTGACAGTTGGAGTGCACCGTATCAGTCAGCTCGTTAAGAAGAGGTTATATACACTGGTCGTGAATAGTTTTGTTTTGGCCTACAACGTCGGATGGTGAGAATTTGGTCGTCAGTTCGGTAGGTGATGTTGATCCTAGACGCCATCGCTTCATTTTCCCGCACTGCTCTCGTATATTTAAGCATCGCCTACATAAAAACCTGCGTCAGAACATCCATGGTTATATACCATACCATCACATCTCACCAGTACCTCTAACACACATAACCACACCCAACACCATACGACACAAGCACGTGATTGGCACAACGCAAGTAAGTGGGAAGTGTGTTTCTCAGCTCTCTCTATGTGGCTTCTCTGTTTCATGCGTGATCCGAGCCTGAGATTATCACGATGCACTAAGCGCCATGGTTTGGAAGACTGATAACACACGATTTAGCTCGGATCTCGCAGTCAGCCTAGTGTGTATTTGATCAAAGTGGCTGACTGGTGAACTAAGAGTTGGGCTGCAATGGCTCCTTCATAACATGACCTGTGGAGCTCTCACATATGTGAGATCTATGCCGCCCACCTCTTCTTGTGTGAAATCTTGGTCCCTGTGTTTGAGGGACCAGGTCTTTTATGTGGCACACGCAGACGAGGCCAGTAGTTACGTCACCCACTGCATCCATTCTCCGCAGCAGACAACCGACTGGCTCTGTCAATGTCCGGGACCTCAGCGCATTCTCTTTGCTGTAAACAGTTTGACGCGCTTAAAGTTACCACGATGCACAAAAAGCCGCAGCTTGGTAGGTTTCCAACTGACGGGTTAACTCGGACCACGCAGTCAGCCCAGTGTGCGTTTAATGGAATGGTCGAATGGCTAACTGACAGTCAGGCTGCAACGGCTCCTTTCTGGTGTGGTTTCTATTGCATTTCCACCCCACGGGATTCGATCCAGGTGTAGCAACAGACTTAGAGGCGGCTCCGGCAGCGCCCCTCACCTGGGCCCTCTTAAACCTCCGATCTTCTTGACTCTGTCTTGACTCCGGGCCAGGGTGGGAGAGGACGAGAGAATGCGGCAGATGTTGTAGAAGTTAACCATCACTTTGAGCTAGTTCCCGCGCAAGTCGCAGTTCCTGCTCTCGCTCTGCTGTGGAGTACACAGTGGACATCGTCGGCAATGACGGTCGAACTGTAAAATGAACACCTCATGCGGCGAGAGCATATAAAAGGCATGAGAACGAAGAGGAGGAGGAGGAGGAGGAGGAGGAGAAGATGGGCCGTTTCATAGCTGTTTCGGGACGACATATCTTCTATAACCCGTTCTCTACACCAAAATCCCGCCTGTCTAATCACCTGTCTGCCTGTGAAATCCCATTTGTGGCAACTATCCAGATTTCGCTAACTGAATGCCTTTAAATAATAATGGCGAACAGCTACCCAATAGAGCTCAAATTAAAGTGTGCGTTGAGCATTAATGTGCGTTGGGCGTAGCTGAATTTCCAGGGTGGAAAACAAGCACAGTTTCGTGACATAGGGCGCCCCATCGACTGCTGGTGGTTAGAAGCTAGCTATCTGGAGTTTAAGGCGGCAACTGAACGTCACGCACATGAGTTGAGGTTTCCGTTATTGTTTGTGTACTGCCGCTAATAAGCCAACAGAGCTTCGCAAAGACTTGCAGGCCAATTTGCGTGTTGGCACAAGGTCAGAGGCCAATTTTTAACGCTAAGGCAGTATCGGTCTCTCCCTTGTATCTATTTTTATACTTCCCCTTCCTAGCCTCACTTCTGATATGCAGTGGACTCCGGCAAAGCGGGTCACCAAGAATTTGAATTAGCCGCTGATTCGGGTCAAATGCTGGTGAACAAATCAGGTCGCATAGAGCACCGCACATTTACTCCGTTTTAAAAGACCACCGAACCGCCTTATTGGGTCTCTCATCGCTCTGATCTGCGCTTTGAACAAACAGTCTGCCTGTCGGAAAATCATCCTCCTAGCCCACTGCCTTTTTAGTGAGGTTGCATGTGAATCAGGTTTGCGAATGAAAACTGCGATAAAACGGAAACGGCTGCAAAACCTCCTTTAATCCGATGAGCTCCCAAAAGCACTCGCTATTTCACCAACGGGGTCACGTTGCGTATGCAAAAACGAAAAGTGTACATCAAGACCGATGCCTACGAGTGTTGGGTGCACCGGTACGGGGAGGCAGTAAATTCAGCAGCCCGTCATCCTTTGACCAGTAAGAAGTGCAATAAGAACAGCACCTATGTGGTAGCACGTGCCCCTGGAGGCGTGAGAGCCCTGCTGGAGCGCGTTGTCGTTGTTAAAGAAACACCCACCCCTCCGCTTTCGCATATCGCCAGCCGCAAGCGTCCACAGATTTTCTTGCTGCCGAGTTGATCTTCCGACTGATTTGCTCTTCACGTCCAACAACACTCAATTTTAGACATTCGGGCTTGACGTCAATGAGGGCAGTTACCTGAACTTTGCCCTCCTGACTTCTGATATGGGCAGCAGTCGTCATCGGTCCCTCCCTGTTACGGATTCAAACACGCAACCGTCCACATTTCTACTTACATCGTTCATTTCTCTCGTCCATCAACAGAGTCTGACACTAACAGTGTCCCTTAGGCAGTGCCTCACAGTACAATAAGATGCAGGAGGGACGTTGACGTCCCTCAACGGGACTATCAGTATTCCTGAAGCAAACTGGTAACGCGATTTCTGTTCACGCGCAAAACTTCGGCAATACAACATGCTCAGGATGACTGAGGCGCAACCTAGGAATTTCCGGTGCTTCAATCCGCCGAGCCCGTCTCTTCAGATGTTTGTCATTTACGTTGCTCTTTTCGTTCTCCAGTACACCTGTGTTGCTGGCAAATCCAGCTAGTTAGACAGCTTCCAGTGGTTTTTGTCAGTAAGTTGGGTTCCTCACTCTCATTACTTGACGTCCTGTTTCCCATTCAGGACAGTGGGTCACAATAAATCTTCATTGTGAATGGCAGCCTTTGAAACTTTTTGAATGCACGGATCACCGCTTGCGGTATTATATTCTTCAAACTACGGGGATATTTTGCTCCCGAAAGCTATAAATGAGGTAGCAATGCAGGGACCTTGTCTACTAGTTGACGCATTCAGCCTCCACCCACTGGCGATGCTTTACTGTAGGACATGCAATGCCAACTACTGAATATCTGGACTTGCATGCTGTTGGTCGTCTTCCTGTGCATTCCATTTCGAAGGCACAACATGGTCTGCTAAACAAAATTCGGGAATAGGGCCATCAGTTCGCCGATCTTTAAGAAAGGCTACGGGTTGCCTTGAAAAAACCGTCATGACATATGTTCTCTTTAAATTCTCACTAGAATTTTCGCAGTCAGCATTCTCAGCCAGTTCCGTTTGCACTATAAAGGCCGGAAGAAAAAGAACCAGTGCAGCTTTCAGCCAGAGCGGAAGGTCTTCACGATCACTTTTGCTGCCCCGACGGCTCGATTATTGCTATTTTTACCGAGAGCTCATTCTCGCCTGGTTCTTGAGTTTTGTCTCCGAGCATGTGATTTCCCTGCTGTCAACTGCGCTGCATGAGGTCGTACCATCGAGGCTACCTCGACTGACTACAGCCCGTAAATTATAGAAGAATGGACGAAGGATGTGTGACCATCGAAGCGAGTGATTTCTCCGATATTACCTCCGATTGCCATAGTGGGAGACTGGATTTTTCAGACCATGCTGGCAGACAACCTCGGTGGTACTATAGGTCATGGTTCGTCCACTACGGACCCCTAGTACGCTGGTTGCATTTCAAACTCGTTGAAGTCCTTTGCATAAATACGGCACTTTTATTCCAGCTTTGCACAAAGGCAGGCAAAATGCGTCTGAACTGAACTCCCCCAAGACAAGGATGGTAGTGTAGGTTTTTGGGATCGCAGTAACCAGTGGAACCCCTCGAATATTAGACAGCCTCCGATGTCTAGTATGGGAATTTCTAACAAACGGCAATACAAAGATGATGTCTGGTTAGCAAAAGTAAGAGATCCGGCTCGATAATCTGAGGAAAAGGAAGGGCTCACTAAATCGAGAGACTTGTTTGGCTGACGTTTCGAAGAGCTTGAGCGGCTTTCCATTATTAAGGCGTCTAGTGCAAAAATAGATCAGAATTTTGAATAGATAGCCGGGTTAGTTGGCCTTGGGCTGGTCGATTTTTTTCTTCTTTCGGAGACTAAACCGAAACTTACAGCATGCAGCTCACATCGGGGAAACTGGTCGCAGTTTTGATTTTCAAGGAGCAGCCCTCTTAGACAGGGCACCCCAAGGACAGAACGTCTCACACTTGAGGCTTGGTACTGAGATTCCAACTCCATCAACAGGCATCTAGACCTTCCTTCGGCCTATAAAATCCTAGGTCACTGCATGCGCTGTGACGAAGACAAGACAGCCCTACGGAGTCTAAGCCTACCATGCAAACACGACCTGGCGACCAATTCACTCAAAAGGGGGACGCGAACGCAACTAACTCCAAATGAGGTGGCGACACACAATAAAGGAGGCCATCAACACTCACAAATGAAGGCCAGTAGGCCAGGGCAGCGAAAGAACAAAAAAATCGATCAGCCCAAGGCCAACTAATCCGGCTGTCTATTCAAAATTCTGATCTATTTTTGCACAAGACGCCTTCATAATGGAAAGCCGCTCAAGCTCTTCGAAACATCAGCCAAAAAAGTCCCTCGATCCGGTGAGCCCTTCCTTTTCCTCAAAGATGATATCGGCTATAGTGCCAACCGCGGGGCCTACGATCC